AGAAAGAAAGAAAGAAAGAAAGAAAGAAAGAAAGAAAGAAAGAAAGAAAGAAAGAAAGAAAGAAAAAAAGGAAGGAAGGAAGGAAGAAAAGAAAAGAATCTGAGAATCTAAGGTAATGATCAGCAAAGAAACAATATGCAGGGGTAAAAAAGGATATGGATTTGAGTTGCCAATATTTGGAGGTCATAAAGTTCTTTCTCAGCTCTATCTTAGAAATTCACTACCTCTAAATTCATTTTTTTTCAGTACAGAGATTTTTTTATATATAATCAGCATTCTATAATCGTACTACTACTTAACATTTTTTTTCCATTTTTGGAGAATTATCATACAAAAGAGTGGGTTTCAATATATCGTGTTCATACTTTCATGTTCTAAATTTCTTTACCTTTTTCTGTATCTCACTGTTCTCTAGTTTGCTTCGCTATGATTATTTTTGCTTGAATGTTTTATTCAACTGTTTAAGTTATCTTTACATACAGAGTGAATACTTAATATAATGGATTTAAGTTCTTCTGAGGAAAAACACAAATAACTTTCTATGAAAAATAATAAAGACCTCGCTCAAGTAGGACACATAAACAACAAAAGATGGGATATCATAGATTTACAAATCTACAAACCGCTCTGCTGACCTTTCACATGAGTGGAAATAGAATGAATATTTTGTTGGGTTTTTTATTTGAAACAATGAGTTTGTGTACCACTGAAAATTTCCTGGAATGAATAGAACTGATTGCTTCATACAAGTTCTTCTTTTTCTCCTCCTCCTCCTTCTTTCAACACAGGGTTTCTGTGTGGAGCACTGGCTGTCCTGGACTTGCTTTTACACAAAGCTGACCTCGAACTCACAGATATCCGCCAGCCTCTGCCTCCCTGAGTACTAGGATTATAGGCATGCACCACCATGCCAATCCACCAAGTTCTTATATCTATACAATATCATAGTCACAATCCTTTATTCTCAGAAATTAAATTTATTATTCTCTTTATTTTAGATTTTTACTCCATGCTCGGTATAAATATAAATATCTGCATTTCTACAATTTTCTATATTCAAATACAATAATATTAGTTATAAGGGGAAGTGTGCAAAAACAATTTTAAAATATGAAAGATGGTCCACATTGCAGCTGCCTGGGAAGATGATTTATTTTAAAGCAATGCTGAGACAAAAGGGAAAAAAGTTCAAGGAAATATCAGTTGGAAAAAAAAGATTTATTTGTTTAAAATGTAATTTCATCAACTTGGAATGTTTTATTGTTTTCATTAAAGCTATTAAACATTCTCCTTTGAGATTCAGTAGTTAATTTAAATGGTGCATTTAAAGATACCAACAGGAGATATTTCTACTTTTTACAGATATGTGAATTTGATAGTTGATTTCAAACAATAAGAATATTTTTTCCTGTAATTCATGGCATAATTTCTGATTTGAAAGTGAACGTATTCTTTAGTTCTTAAAAAAAAAAACACTTTGGAAACAATTTTATGTAAAGATATTTTCTCTAGGATCTTTGAAGGTACAATTGTACAACTAAATGAACTTGAAAAACATACATGCCACTCTTTTGAAAGTTAGCCTAGTGAATGCCATGGATGGGGAAGTTGTGAATCTTTGAATCACTAACGTTCCACACTGAAAGGATTTGTAGAATGTTTAAGTAAACATAAAAGGACCAACGCATTCAACAAAATCAATCTCTGGTTCTGGTAGATCTGTCACTTGCTTCCTATCACCTCATTGGTGTTCTATTTTATTATTGTTGTTTTGTTTTGTTTTTACAACAGAATAAGAATGATTGTAATAATTACTTCCTTTTGGATTATCTGTCTCTTAGTCACTAACCATTAAATATATACATTTTACTTAGAAAGAAAAGGTATCCACAATACAATTACACTTTCCTGAAAAGAAAAACTCTCAAATCCTAAATGCCTGAGGAAAGATTCTAAATACAACAACAAAAAAGCTAGGTAATTTTCCATTGCTTCAGAAAAATCTCTATTTCACTATCATGATTGAGAGTTCAGAAAAGTATATGATCAACAACCCGTACATAATATTACCGGGATTTATTAGTTCAAAGATTTATACAAAAGTTATGTCAATACTGCAAGGGTTTTAGTGTTTTCAAGGTATTTTTAAAAACAAATATGTACTATATGGGTATCTCTATTTATCAAAATAGTAGTTTTACATCAGGGAAATGAAGTTGTATATAAAATTAAGACTTCATACCCTGAAGAGTTTTTCCTATAGTAAGCAAATATCATTTGTAATAAAAGCTATAAATTCAAGTTCAAGACCTCAATACTTACCCTGACTACACTGAAGTCCAGCTTAGTCTCCTGTGCACACTGTAATATGAGCTGAAAGCAATTTTTACTTTGATTTGTCATTCCATTTTCATAATAACGCTGTAAAATCCTTTGTTGTTCTACAGTAAATACAGAACGTAGATTCATCTAAAAATAAAAGAAGATACTCTGAAAATTGGAATAAAAATTGGCTAGGTGTAGAATCTCAGTGCTTCTAAGCTGCACAGTTAAACAAATTAACCCTCAGTAATGGACAGTAATTTGTATACTAAAGGGAGACAGCTTCTCCCTGAAAAATATATACAAACATTTATTTTGCTTAGAAAAGCACAAACTTCAAAGACATAAACATAGAAAAAAAGAAAAGAAAAGAAAAAAAGAGGGAAGCTCTTACTTATCTGGTCAGTGTCAGTACATGGGGGGAAATGGTTTTCACTAAAATAAATATTTATGGCTAGCAAAGCCAGAGATGGTGTTAGCCATACAGAAACAATTATCAACAGGGACACTCAGTGTTCTTTGTCAAGCAAAGCATCTGGCATATGTCTTTGCAGTCAGAAGCTGTGCTCAGAAATACAGGGGACTCTTTTTATCCCCTCATTCTGAGATACAAAGAATTTATTATATATATTTAAAAACCTATCGTTTTATTATTTTATTTATTACACTTTATTCACTTTGTACCTGGGCTATAGCACCTTTGTCTCCTGCTAGTCTCACCCACCCTCTCCCTGTTCCCCCTATGCCCTTTCCCTAGTCCCCTGATAGGGGAGGACCTCCTTCCCTTCTACCTGATCCTAGCTTATCAGGTCTCATCAGGGCTGGCTGAATCATCTTCCTCTGTGGCCTGGCAAGGCTGCACATCCCAGGGGGAGGTGAACAAAGAGCCTGCCACTGTGTTTATGTCAGAGACAACCCCTGATGCCCTTACTAGGGAACCAATTTGGAAACTGAGCAGCCTATGGGCTTCCTCTGAGCAGGGGGTCTAGGTCCTCTCCATGAATGGTCCTTGGTTGGAGTATTGGTCTCTGCAGGCCCCAATGGGCCCAGGATTTTTGGCACTGTTGGTCTCCTTTTGAATATTACTCAGCAATTAAAAACAAAGAAATCATGAAATTTGCAGGCAAATGTTGGGAACTAGAAAAGATCATCCTGAGTGAGGCAATCCAGAAGCAGAAAGACACATATGGTATATGCTGACTTGTAAGTGAATATTAGACATATAATATAGGATAAAGGTACTAAAATATATAGTCCTAAAGAAGCTAAACAGCAAAGAGGACCCTAGGGAAGAGGTAGAAACATCACTCAGAAGGGATAATAGGATAGACATTGGAAGTAGGAGAGGACAAGGAAGAAGACAAGAGCCTTCCACAGGGGACCTCTGAAAGACCTACCTACCAGGGTATTGAAGCAGATGCTGAGACTCATAGCCAAACTTTGGGCAGAGTGTAGGAAACCTTATGGAAGAAGAGGATGATAGAAAAACCTGGAGGAGACAAAAACCCTCTTTTTTAATTTTTTGTTTGTTTTGTTTTTGCTCTTGAAGTGTATTCTCATGTAGCACAGGCTGGCCTTCAACTGTTTATCTTCCTGCCTCAAGAAAATGCTGGGATTACAAGGGTTCACAAACACTTTCAGCTTAACAAAACATTTCATTTTGGATTAAAAAGAAATAGATGGGGGTAATAACCATGAAAATGGCTTTTCTTTATGTAATACTAACCAAAATAATTGTTTTAATAAATATGGCATCTAAGTGAAAATTCAACATCAGTATAACTGAAACTCTGCACTACTAAATTAAATTGATACCATCAAAATTAGACAAAGTAAATTTACTTTTCCTGCCAAGAGATGAGATGTTTAATATAAAGGACAAAAAAAAAAGTTTGTGTATCTCACAAGTAAATGGCAGGTTAAACTAATTTTAAAGGGAAGAATTATAGTAGTATATTTTGATAAAGAACATTTATAGTTTGATTAGGGGAACTTCAGGTTTTTGTTAACTTCAGGTTTTGAAGGAGATGCTGAGACTCATAGCCAAACTTTGGGCATAGTGCAGGGAATCTTATGTAAGAAAAGGGAGATAGAAAGACCTGGAGGGGACAAGAGCTCCACAAGAAAACTAAGAAAAACAGAACTCTGGGTCCAAGGGGGCCTGCAGAGACTGATGAATAAACCAAGGCCCATGCATGGAGAAGAAATTAGACCCCCTGCTCAGATGTAGCCCATAGGCAGCTCAGTCTCCATGCAGGTTCCTAAGTAAGGTTTGACCACTTCCTCCTGGGGTAGGTTGCCAGGTCACAGAGGAAGAAGATGCAGGCATTCCTGACAAGATTCCATAGGCTGGGGTCAGTTGCTATGGAAGGAGGGCTCCCCATTTCTGAGGACTAAGGGAGGGGATTAGGAGAGAAGAGAGGAAGGGTAGGACCTGGAGATGAGGGGGCTACAATTGGGATGTAAAGTGAATATTTTTTTTAAAAAAATGAATTTAAATTAAAAAAAATCTGTCACATAGCAAGACTTTTCTGAGGAAAGTAGTTCCTTAAAATTGGGAAAACTGCCACAACAAAAACACCACCAGTCAAAACAAACATTTATCTAGTATACAGTATATTGAAACTATCAAGTTTGTCAATATGGAAATATAAATTAAAATAAATTGACGATAGTAAACCCATCCAAGAAAAATTAATAAATCATAACATGTAAACATATACTACAGTGTGTTATTGTCTTTTAAATTTTTTAACTTTGTTTTTTGCTCATAGAAGCCCTTCTCTAACTGTTAAGAGGTTTGATTACAGCAAAATTAAATGTAGGAGAGGCCACAGGAGAAATGAGAGTAGACTTTATTTCAGGAACATCCAGAAATAAAGACCTCCATTAACTTTCTGAAGGAGGGTTCTGAAGGATGCTCAGTAATGTGGATGTCAACTTGACCAAACATTCAAGGATGATTGCAACAGTAAGTAGGGACAGTATCATTTTTTACTATTATGGATTCCAACTCTCAGAGTTTACTCTAAATGGTTCAAAGACAATCAGAAGAAAATCCAGAAGATCAGAATCAAGTACCTATAATACTTCATCTGATTTAGAAGCAAAATACCCTGGGATGGATTCTGAGGGGGGCAAACTTCAACTTATAAATGTATAATTAAAATAAACCCTCTTATATTTTCCTGTACAGCTGTACCTAAAAGAAAAAGCTTGCAGTTGATACCCAAGTGTGAGCACACTTCCCTTAAAATATAGGATGGACTGACTAGCTTCCTATTGGCCAGCTGAAATCATTAGACTTACCTTATAAAGAACTGGACTTCTCCACTGAAAATGAATATTCAAATGCAAGGGACTAAGCACAAAATACATCTATAATTCTGGTAACAGGAAATGCTAAGGACTTTTGAAGTCTTTTCCTTAAATTCAGCACTAACAGGCGTACAGATTTTAGAATGATTATATCACATATATAATTATCCATTTATAAGTGAGCATATACCATGTGTGTCTTTCTGCTTGTGGGATACCTCACTCAGGATGATCTTTTCTAGTTCCCACCGTTTGCCTGAAAATTTCATGACTTCCTTGTTTTTAATAGCTGAGTTGTATTTAATTGTGTAAATATGTAAACATCTTGGTTGTTTCAAGATTCTGGCTATTACAAATAAAGCTGCTAAGAACACGGTTGAGCACATGTCCTTGTGGTATACTAGAGCATCTTTTGGATATATGTCTAGGAGTGTTATAGCTGTATCTTGAGGTAGTACTATTCCTAATATTCTGAGAAATCACCAGATTGATTTCCAAACTGGTTGTACAAGTTTACATTCCCATCAGCAATGGAGGAAGGTTTCTCTTTCTTCGCATCCTCTCCAGCATGTGTTATCACTTGAGTTTTTGATCTTAGCCATTCCGATTAGTGTAAGATGGAATTTCAGAGTTGTTTTGACATACATTTCCCTGATGACTAAGGATGTTGGGCATTGCTTTAAGTGTTTCTCTGCCATTCAATATTCCTCTGTTGTGAGAATTCTCTTTATCTCTGTACCCTATTTTTAATTGGATTACAGAACAGTGGGCTATCTCTGACATAAACTCAGTGGCTGGCTCTTTGATCACTTCCCCCTGGTGCGGGGAAGCTTTACCAGACCACAGTGGAAGACAGTACAACCAGTCTTTAAGAGACCTTATAGGCTAGGGTCAGATGGAAGAGGAGAATGACCTCCCTTATCAGTGGGCTGGGAGAGGGGTATGGAAGGAGAAGAGGAAGGGAGAGCAGGACTGGGAGGAGATGAGGCAGGGAGCTACAGCTGGGATACAAAGTAAATAAATTGTAATAAATTAAAAAAACTTAAAAATAAAAAAATTAATTAATTTAATTAAATTAAAAGTTCAAAGGAAAAAATTCAGCACTAACAGCAGAAAGAGCTATTTTTCTTTCAAGCTATGTGAATTCATTCTTTACTGTAAAAACTAGATAAACCATTTGAATAAGATGTCCTTATATATGTCCATCCTAGCTGTGTTTGTCTCTATTAAATGAACAGACAGCCAAAATTCTTAGCCATTTACAAAGCAATAATAATCAGAAATATCTTCTATGATTATTACAATTTATTCACTTTGATTCCTGGTTTTAGCCCCCTCCCTCATCTCCTTCCAGTTCCTCGATGCCTCCATACCCCCATCTCTCTCTGCAAGTCTACTAATTGGAGAAGTCCTCTGCCTGTACTATCTGACCCTAATTTATCATGTCTCATCATGACAACCTGGATCCTCTTCCTCTGTTGGCTGGCTAGGTCGCCCTACTACCAGGTGGAAGTAATCAAAGAGCAGGAAACTGAGTATATGTCAGAGACTGCCCCTGCTCCCCTTACTAGAGAGACTGGGCTGTCTATGGGCTCCATCTGAGCAGGGTGCCTAGGTTAAGCTATAGTCCCTTCTTTCTTTCTTCTCATCTTATGTCCCTCCCCTAGTCCACTGAGAGGGGAGGACCTCTGCCCTTTTATGTGACCCTAGACTATCAAGTCTCATCAAGGGTGGCTGCATCATCTTCTTCTCTGTCCTGGCAAGGCTGCACCCCCCCAGGGAGAGGTGATCAAAGAACTTGCTGCTGAGTTGATGTCAGAGGACAGTCC